TAGGCTAAAGAAAGCAGTAAGTAAAGCGGTAAAAGTGAAGCGAGCGGAAGCGAGTGAAGCGAGGGCGGAAGATGAAGTGCCAGCGGTGACCAAATGTTCGGGGCGTGAGCGGAAGTGAGGACCAGATGAATGGGACATGGATGAATGACGGTTACCGAGTGAACGGGACATGAGCGAGCGGCACATTATATGTATATATATATATATGGGCGACAGAGAGTGGATGAGAGATGTGTCTGAACTGTGCGTTACTAAATGGATAAATTTGCGAGCGATGCAAGTGTGTTATCGGAAATATATGTATTTTACGAAAGCGGTGAGAAGGAAGTATTGTAATTATATAAACTGAATATAAAGAATTCATAACACTAGAATTTTTTACCTTAAGAGATTTACAACAATACTTCAATGACACCCAGATTCAAGACATTATAAGAAAGAAACCTGTCACTAGGAATCTCTGCGACCTAATAGACCACCGCCTATGCCCCGTTAATTTTCCCAAAATCTGCCTCATTAGTGACTTTACCCTTCTCCTTCTGTTATCTCTTTTTAATCAAAATTGAATTCAGAACAACAGTTAAGCAGGTCGACAAGGCTCCAGCGTACTTAACTACATTGAACTACCTTGAGACCGCTTTTGGCGCATAAAAAGGGTCAAATAATCAATTCTTCTCTAGCTCTAAACCAGTGAAATAGAATTCTCTAAATTCAAACTTTATATATAAGTGTGTAAAAAATGTGGAAGAAATGAGGGTGAAGAATCGAATGATATTTCATTATCTACTACGAAAACAGTAATCTAATTAAAAAAACTGTAAAGACTTGGCCAAGGGAGGAGGGAACCCCTAGTCCCTTGGCCATTCCTGCGGAGAACTCCCTTACAGGGAGACAGGAAGACGGCTCGCTTGCGAAAAGTAATTGCTAAGAATGTTTAAAATCGAAGTATCGATCCTATTGATAAAGATATCTGGCCCTCTTTATAGCAGGTAGGACGGGGCGGTTGCAATCGGTTGCTGGGAGGTTCCAACTGGGCAGTTACGCGATTTCTGGTAGTTATTCTATTGAAGCAGTTGCTGGCCATAACTCCCAGGGCGCTTGCTTTGATTGCATTGAACTGTAAAGGCTAAAATCTTCCTCACTTGCCGAAGAGCTGGAGGGCATCAGCGCAGTTAGGCTCGCTTGTGCTGGCTCGAAATGAAATGGTTGTATCGCTGCAGTTGGAATACTTGGTTGGAATCTGGTGATAATCTGTAGCGGTGGGTGTTTGGGTTGTCGCTTGCAAACAGGAGAGGCTGTCGCTTGCGGGTGGTGAAGGCTGCCGCTTTGCCTCTCATGCCTTAGTATTTTTCAGGACATATTCTGGGCGCTTGCGAGGGAGGTGGCTATCGCTTGTGGCGTATGCCTTAGCTTTTCTGGTACCAGACTACCGCTTAAAAAGACAAAAATCGTTAATAATCTTAACAACGAATTCTGGATCATGCCAAGCGATATATATCTATAATGTATGCCAGTCATTGTGATGGTTCTTATACAGAAATTCGAGTAATACACAGTTTTGTCAAGCTAAGAATATGCTCCTATTTGGAGTTATCAGTATTCCTGTTAGCGGCATCACTTGTTGCTTATGTTTCTGATTTGCTTTCAGGAAAACTGAAAGCATAAAATGGTGAAGCAAACGTATGTCTTTTAAGTGTTTCTAATGTCTTGAGTGCAGTAGAGGAATAGAAACAATTTAACTAGATTTACAAGTGAGCTCTGTGGTTTTACTTGGATTTGACAATTATATTGTAAGAAAAAATCTTAGTCCTTTCATTTAGTGCTCTTCATTCTTTCTGTATAAGTGGATAATTTTACTTTTGTTTTAGATACAGCTATGTAGAACTAGTCTATCACTTATGATATTTTGCAGGCTTTAGCCGATGTTGTAGGCTTACCATGTCGAATTGCAAAAGGATGTAAATATGGTACTAGAGATGATGCTTCTTCGTGTCTTGTTCAATTCGCCATTAACAGGTATATCTTATTACTTCATTCAGCTAAGAATCTAGATAAAAGAGCAATCACTGCTTTCTTGATCTGTTACTGGGAAATTTTACATAATGTATGCTGATGACATATACCACTTAGTCTTTTAGTTACTTGTGTCTTTGAGGTGGATGAGCCCTATTTCTAGCAATCATGCCTCTACTGTGCTTTAGTGTTTTGTGCAATAATAATAATTATTATTTTGGATGTTATTACTTTACTTTCAGTTATTTCAATTGTTTGAGGTAGATTTGTTTACTTGACTTTGCGTGATGGGGTATGCCTGCGATTCAATTTTCTAATTTCTACAACTACAAGTCTATATGAATTATAAATTCCTACATGGTTCACTATGTCTTTTGAAATGTATGCGGTTGATGAACTGATCTAACAACACTGGTATGAATTCATAGGGAGTATCTCATTGATCTGATTGAGAAACCTGGATGCTTATGCGAGCCTAATTCTTCGCTAAATGGTCTAGCCACAATCTCAATTTCGTCGCCATTACACTTTCCACAATTCAAGCTGGTAGAGCATGCGTTGGATTACAGGTTACTGGCCAAACAGTATCTCTTGAACTTTCACTCACTGGATATTATGTTTGATGATTCTTTGGCAGGTGATTATTCATTAAGCTAGTAATTGGCTACTCATGCTGATTTATTTTTTGTTGAGTCTATTTATCTTCATTTTGTTGTTAAGTTTGTGGATTCTGTTTTTGTTGTTTCTCAATGGCACAAACTGGACAATATTTATGAATAATCTTATAGGTTCGTGCAATTTGAACGTGCAAGTTGAAACAGTTATCTTTGGCAGGCAAAACTGTTGTCAAGGCAGATGCTGAAAATTCCATGCTTTCTGAACAATCAAAAGGGATTAATGACGATAGGATTGGCTCTATTCCCGGTTCAAACAATCATGTGGAAATTTCTTTTGTGTCACCGTCTCAACCTTGGGATCTTTTGTACTCCAAATGCATAGCCAAAGGGTCTGTTCCATTGAAGCTTATCCCACCCATCGTGCATAAAGATGTTCAGCCACTTATTGAGCTGGTGAATCCTAGAGTAGATGCTAATGAAGATACAAGGTTTCGTGAAGAAAGTTTTTCAGTTCCATCTGAAACAAGTATTGAATTGGCCTTTGGTGTAGAAGATATGAATATTCCCTGGTCTGATCTTGTTCTAAGGGAGAGAATTGGAGCAGGTATCTCCTCCCAGAGAAATTTAACCAGGAATGCTTTTGCTGTTAGTTTGCTATAGAATGCAGAATAGCAATTCAAGAAACATTGGCCTGATTACCTGACTCATTCATTTTCAGGTTCCTTTGGAACAGTTCTTCGCGCCGAATGGAACGGCTGTGTAAGATATTTACCATAATATTTGGGCTTTACCTTAATTCAATCGCTGAGCTTTATTATCAATAGTTTGGTATCTCACCTGAGATGATTCCTTGAAGGATGTTGCTGTGAAGATTCTAATGGAACAAGATTTCCATGCAGAATGGTTGAAGGAATTTTTACGTGAGGTACGCTTGTTATCTCTAATATATCGTGACGTTCATCTGTTACTTCTTTAGGTTCACTTTTTTTTGGGATTAGGTGGCGATCATGAAAAGGTTGCGCCATCCAAATATTGTGCTTTTTATGGGTGCGGTAACAGAGCCTCCAAACTTGTCCATAGTAACAGAATATTTGTCAAGGTATGTGTTTTGAATTTTTATCTCGCATTTGTCAGTTGTCAAAGCTCATGCAGCACAGTCAACTGTTTTCCGTTTTATTTTCTTTCTTCAGAGGAAGTCTTTTTGGACTTTTACACCAACCTGGTGTGCGAGAAGTCTTGGATGAGAAACAGCGGTTGAGCATGGCTTATGATGTGGTGCAGATTCATTTCATTACCAATTCAATATCATCATTATTTTTCTCTTTGAAATGAATGATCTTTTCGGGTTGTTGCCCCCTTTGATGGTTAATCCATTTTGTATAGGCCAAGGGGATGAACTATCTTCATAAATGCAATCCTCCAATCGTTCATAGGGACTTGAAATCTCCTAATCTTTTAGTCGATGACAAGTATACTGTGAAGGTAAGAGAGCAACACTTCAAGCAGCATTCTTTCAATTCAAACATTATCGAGCAATGTATAGCTGCTGTATATTTTCCAAATTTTCTTTATCTAAAGTTTCATTTTTCTCTGAGAGTTATTGAAGACTTAACAGAGTTGATTTTCTTCACCATTCTTCCTTTGCCATGTAACATATATATATATATATATACATACATATATGTGTGTCTGTATCGTATGATTGCCTTTTTATGCATTGATCTCATCTATGTTTTATTTTTCAACAGGTTTGTGATTTTGGTCTTTCCCGTTTGAAAGCAAACACTTTTCTTTCATCCAAGTCTGCTGCCGGAACTGTAAGTTTAAAATTGATATCTTTTACAAATACGATGATTGAAACATTTCTTCGTTCTGGTTTTCCATTGAAAAATAAGAAACTTCTTTTTTCTCCCGGTAGCCCGAGTGGATGGCACCTGAGGTACTCCGCAATGAACGACCAAATGAAAAATCAGATGTTTACAGTTTTGGCGTGATTTTGTGGGAACTGGTTACCCTACAGCAACCCTGGGCTACCCTGAATCCTCCACAGGTCTGTGAACTATCTCTGACTTTTTATTGCACGGCTAGCGGCTAAAATTACATGCACCATGAGATGCCAGGTCTAAATTTTGTAACTTGACCTATTAACAAAATATTTCACTTATCGCAAGATGGACATGAAAACAAAAAGATTTAGGGGGAATTGGGATTATGCGTAGGTTCTTGTCTTTGGGACTAATGTAATGATCCATTCACCCTCCCTCCAACCCGGATCACCATAACCAGAAATAAATACAGTCTTTTTCCTTTTTGAAGTATTCTGGACTATGCTGTTTCTATTTCTTTAGATACGATTGTTGCAGTGATGAGGCTTCTTAACAACATCCGTTGGATCTTCTAGGTTGTAGGAGCTGTTGGTTTCCAGGGGAAAAAGCTTGAAATTCCTCGTGCTGTGAATCCTCATGTTGCAGCTATAATTACAGCCTGCTGGGCCAAGTGAGTTACATATATATATATATATATATGATTTAACACTACAATTTTACCATATAATTGATGTACGATGTCTTAGGAAATTAATGATCTCCTGTTCGAAAATATATAATTCTTTCCTGACATATGCACCGATGAAAATGCAGTGAGCCTTGGAGACGGCCCTCCTTTCCCAGTATCACGGAATCTTTAAGGCCACTGATTGAGCCATCCCCAACTAACTATTCAGGTTGCTAGAAGAAGATTCCATGGATGGTAACCTTCACTTATCTTGAAACCTTTAGGCTTACAGATTCAAGAGCTGCATAAAATGTAGGTGGTTGTGGCACTCCCTCACAACATTCTCTAGAATGAATAATAATACTCTCTATTTCATATCTGATCTGGATATTGAATGTGAAGATGCGATTGTGGATTGGCGTGGAACTAACTATTTGGGAACATCTTCTTCGATGACTCCGGACCCACTGCGAGACCTCATTTCCTCTTTTACTAATTACTGGAAATACTATAGTAATGCTAGTACATGAGTCGGTTGTTACAGTGCTGATCGACATCATATCAAATATAATCCAATAAATATAATAAAAATATAACATAACATATGAATTCAGAATATATAATAGTCTATACCGTGCATATTGTAAGTGAATTAACACATAATACATCTTCGCCCTGTTCTCCCAATGCAGTTTTTCGATTGCGAATTCTAAAAAATAATATTTTATACAAATGTCAAAAAGTCAAAATATTAGTTATAAAAAAGTCAAAAAATTCATTACAAAAAGTCAAATACTAAATCTAAAATAATAATATATTTTATATTTTTGACACAAATTTTTATACCATACATAAAAAATCATTTCATTCGAAAATTCAAAAACGCTACGGGGAATGAAACTAGAGCTGGCAAAAATTGACCCGACACGATATAATTGGGTTTGGGTCAAAGATTTCAACCCGATTATGTATACGGGTTGACACGAACCCAATACGATAACCCGATTATAATATATTAATGTTGATTAATATATTTATTATATATGTAAAATAATTATAATTTGATAATTTTTCTCATAAATTAATTTAAATTAAGTTTAATTTAAATTAATTCAACCTAATTTAGACTCAAACTAATTAAAATTAATATAACACGATAACATAACAAAAAATTATTTAATTTGAATAAAAAAATTTGACTTAATTATGTACACAGGTCAACATGAGTCAATCCGAACCCGACACGATAATAAACGGGTCAATACAAACCCGACACGATAATAAACGGGTCAGGTTAGGATTGAGTAATTTAACCTGTTTAAAGTATTCAACCCGACACGAATACTTTCATCGGTGACATTTATACAAAAAAAAAATTATACAAATATAATGATAATTTTAATGTTAAGTACAATGACTGATGGATGGAGTATTATAGAAAATGTCGTGTCATTTTTTATTTTTTTTTATTTTTTTTACGATGTGGGAATCCGCTGCCGCTAAGTGCGCATTAGGTAAACCCCCGACCGAATTTAATACCCTGCAAACTAAGTCCGATAGACAAATTACATTAGGTGAACCATGTGCGGTAAATTTCGACCTCACGGTCATAAATCCACCCCATGCCACTAAGCATCCCAACTAATTTTCTCTTTTGTAAAATATCACTTCAATCACTACTATATAAATAAACACAAACACAACTAAAGAATTTGAAGATTATATAGTCCAACATAATTCAGATTGATAATCAACTAACACTACCCCCAATCCTAAATGTCCCACAACTCTAACCCTTACCTATTCCTTTTAATAAACATAAATCATGTCATGTTTCCAAATTCACTCAACAGAATCAAAACACCCACTCTGTATCTGTATCTGTATCTGTTAAGAAACAAAAAAACATAAGAACAACTCTTGATAAAAAAAAAAAAAAGAAAGTCCCATCCTCCCCAAAGTCCATACCTGTCAGTCAGTCCGGAAGTCAATTATGCGCAGAGGCCCTCCCGGCCCCGGCCCCGGCCCCAGCCCGGCGCAGTAAAACCGGAAACCTGTAGTTTCACAACTCAAAACAAAAAACAACACAACAATTAGCAGCAAAAGTTCCATGGCAATGGCCAAAAACAAATAATTGATAATAACAACATAGTATTGATCATAACAATATTCAACTAATAAGAAGCTCTCAATCCAATCCATTATATTCTTATATCAAGATCCTTCTTCTACTTAGGATTATCATCTCTAAGATGGCTTCTCCTGTTCCGTAAAAGGGATGTGTCCTCTGGCTCTAGCTCTTTCTCAATTCCCGAGCTGCTTCTTTCCGGCTGTGGAGACGAGCCTATGTTCCAAACATCAGAAAAACTCCCTATCTCCGGGACATTGTAATTGTTAAAGTTACTCCATAAATCAGTGGAGGAGCTAGACATAGACATAGACATACCGGCAGTAGGTTCAAAAGCCATGCCCCAAATTCCCGCCTCTGTAGTTGCCGCAATACTTTCAGTTACTGATATTGGGAGTTCAGAATCAGGAACATTCTTCGCCTCCAATAATTCTTCTGGAAAGAACGACAAAGGAAATGGCTGGGGGTTCAATAGGTTTTTTCCTTTAGTGTTTGGATCACTTTTCCCGATTAGGCCAACTGCTTCGGCTGGCTCTGGTGTACTGATGAATTCTTGCACCATAGTCATGTCATCGTCAGTTATATCCTCGGCCCAGAGGTCGGGATTGGATTCCATGGCCGTTGTTGGTAAGGTGAGTTCATCCTGGAACTTCACTATCCCCTCTGCTGGGATGATGATGGAATCCCCTGCTGATTCGTGGTGCTTAACAAATTTCCGAGGTGGTTTGGGGAAGGTAATGTCCTTTTGCTGTTGCTCCTTCGTCCCCTGTAGACGAGTTAGGATCTCCGGGTTTTGAAATATCTTTCCTATGAATGAAACCATCTGCTTCTGCCTTCTCTCTGCGTTATGAAGCTTCTCATTAACCATTTCCATTTGATGAATCGTGCCGCGCTGCTGCTGCTGCAGTTCGACTACCTCCTGCATCATCATACTTCGCTGTTTCCTCAGCTGTTCGATTTCAGACTGAACTGCCGTCTTGGCTGTTTCCTCACACAATGAGCTTTCACCCTGCTGTGGCGAAGCAGACGATCTTCGCCTCTGGATACTTCTCAATAGATGCCTCTGCCCTCTGAGAAAACCTTCGTTCGCAAACTCCCATTTATCGGTATCAATCTTTCGGAATCCCTGTAAACATGTAGATGTACCATTCAGACATGAAAAACATCAACCAACAAATAGTCATAACCATGAGATGTTTGAAATTTTAAAGGAAGCAAACTATAGACGAGCCCGATGCACAGGCTCAACATCCATCAGCAACTGCAGCTGCATATATATAAACATCAATATCAGAAATATTTCTACATCCAAATATGCGTCCCCGATCATAAGTAAACCTTAGTAAATATCCCATCAAAGCTTAAAACTCTACCTGCGATAATGCGAACTTTCCAAATCTCCCAGAAGTGGTTTTAGTATATGGAGTTTTCAATAAGACTACAACTTGTACAAGAATCGGCAGGATTCGAAGAATAATGATCGAGAACCAAAGTCTACAACAATACCCAAGTCTACAAAAGACGAAAACACTAATTCTGCCAAGATAACAAACAAATTGAGAAAACTACCCAAAGTTTACGAACTTCACCAAATATTACAGCCCAATTCATCAAGTTCGAAGTTCACCGAGATCAAAATAACAAATAGAACAACTTACACAAAATTTCTCGCAAGAATCGACTGGTTTCGAAAGTCACTAATATCCAAATAACATACACAACAACTTACACAGAATCTCAATGGAGTGTACATCAACAAGGTACTACAAAAACTATGACTGTCCGTTTGGTACAAAGCTCTTCTATATCTACAAAAGTTCAATACAAATTACATTAACAAAATGTACAAATTACACCACCAAAATGTGCAGATGTTGAGAAATCCAAAAATAACAATAACAGAAATAGCACAAAAGAATATCCGAAAGAAACATTATAGTATCCCAGTGATAGATTAAACGGATACCCACATATGTATTCAGTTGACGAACAAAGCTTGAAAAATTGTTGTGCTTGAAATTCTTAGGCAATATCATCCTCGAAAACTCTATAGGATCCCACACAACAAAACTGTTACCCTTCGATCCCCATGATATTATGCTGTTCAATGAAGGATCCTCCACCAAATCGAATGTTTTCGACAGAAATGGCGGAATCGGAGTCTCGCTCAACGATTCCAGAGGCCTCGGCACGTCCAATAAACCCTCTCCCCCTCTAAAGCTCGGTTTGGACTCGAACGAATCGAAACTTAGCAGTGGAGAAAGCGGCGGTGGCTCTGGGAACGGAGACGCCGCCGGAAAAAGCGAATACGACGGCGAATCTGCGGCGATGTTCGCATCCTCGCCTCCGAAAGTAAGAGGATGAGATTTCCGATCATCCTCCGGATCCATCACAGTCGATCGATGATCGAATTAGGGTTCTGCAAGGAAATGAAAATTCCTCCGATTACTGGGGAAATCATAAATGAGAAATGAAGGATGGTCGCCACAATCGCTCATATATATACGTTTCGCCGACTGAACTCCCCAACGGTTTTTTTTTTTTTAAATAAAAAAATAAAAATATCAAAGGTAAGTCGGTGGAGGAGAGGGGAGAAAATGTGGCCACCAAATATGATTCCATCTCCGCCGTTGATTACGAAAAGGCAGACTCGAAATCTACGGTCAGAAATAGAGGAGGAGGAAGTGGGGCCCTAGGGGACGAGATATTTCTTGGAAGTGCGCGGCTGACTTCGCCGGAATTTGTATTAGACCCACACGCTTGCAGCCTTGCCTATTAAGTAACGACCACTGTGTCTCTTTTTTTTAAAAAAATATTTTTTGAATTTTTAAGTATTGTATAATTAGTAAATAATTAATAAATATATTAATAAAAATAATTAAGATATTTATAATTATATTAAAAAAAATTATTTGGGACATACGAAGAAATAGTTGATAACATAAGTGGGACGGAAGGATAAATAATAGACAAATTAAATTAGACAAATTAAATGGAACGAAAAGAATAAAAAATATAAAAAATACCATGGGTTTGTTGTTTAGTGTTTTAATTTAATATGTATATGTATTTTATGTCAAGTAAAGTAAATTGTTTAAACTATTTTTTTTTATTTAAGTAACTTTACTATCTACTTAGGTTATTTTAATTATTTTTATTTTATTTTAAAATTATGTGGAAAAACAAATGGATTGACGAATAGAATATTAAATTCGTTTGCATTGGGTGGGATGTTGTGGAACCAAATAAGAACTTGATATTTTTACTATTCTAATTCTCCTACTTCTCTTGATAGATTAGTAGTAATAACTAGTGGAATAAGGAGGATTATTGGTATAACAAAGGACCAGATAGGCACAGTGACTGAAGTAATCATAATTAGGGACGAGCATTCGAATTTTTAGTTCGTATTTTGTCAAATTTGAACCTATCAGAAAATTCGAATTTTCTAAAAAAAATCAATCCAAACTAAATCCAAAATCCAAATTTTGAAAATTCGAAATCCGAATTAAAAAATTCATAACCGAAATATCCGAAATAATCTGAAATTTTTAGTATACCGATCTGAAAATCTGAAATTTATAACCACTCTAAAAATGCGAAAAATTCGAACCAAATTTTAAATTTCAGTTTAGTTCGAATTGAATTTTGGAATTTCAAATATTTTGTTCACCCATAATCACAATTTCTTTAAAATCATTTTTTTTTCATTTGAATCAGAAGAAAAAAAAGAAAAAACATAATTATTGCATGTCATAATAATAGCATTATGTTGAATTTAAATGCCCGATCCTTTAAAGCGGAAGCGTACCTGATGAAGCCATATACAAATTTTAGGTGATTAAAGGTTTGGTCTTCCAAGACCAAAGAGCCGGCTTCTTTTATGTCCTTGACGGGTGATGAGCAGAAACTGCAGGGAGAATCAGATTTTTTTACGCCGTGCTGATCCTGGGACCTAACCCTAGCCTATTTACAATAGGGCAAACATAATTGCAATTACAATTATGCCCTTAATTAATATTATTAATTTGTCACGTCACCAAAATAATAATATTATACAGGTGTAGCTGCACTTTCATTCCATAACAATCAAACCTATCAGTCAATAATTAATTATATTAATTAGACCACTTAAATAATATGACTGGATAAAATAATGACTTTAACAATATATTCGATACACATATTTGATCCCAAATCCAACACATTAGACAAAGGGATATTCATACGCTCCATAGCAAATCCCTAAATTAAATTAAAGAAAAATTGAATTTACTCATCCCAAGTAGAGCTCAGCAAATGCTAGCAAATTTGACCACATGAGGCTGTCGGAAATAAAAACAGGAAGGTGACGCCGGAAGATGACCGTTGAAGGTTGCCGGAGCGCCGTCATGTGCGGCGGAGGACCGACATTGTCGGAGAAACGATTAGCACGTGAGCCTCACATGTGGTGCCGATGGTCACGAAATTCCTCAGGTTGGCCAATTTCGAAAAAACGAACGCTTTGAAGACAGCGGTGGGAGAAAGAAAAAAAATATTAATATTGTGGTTATTACAGTGGTTTGGACATTTTCACTGCAATTACTGAGCACGGTGAAAATTGCACTACCTTGCAAAAACCCTAATATTCATTTATTTGATATTTATAATAGTTATAATTTAGACCTTATTCTTCTTAATTTTCTTCTCTTATATTTTTTAAAAAATATTAATATATCTTACATATTCACTATTTTTATATTCCCTATATTATACTCCCTCCGATCCGAACTATAGTTTGGAGTTGTGTTCCGCACGAGATTTAAGAAATATTGATATTATATTGGTAGTGGATAAAAAGTATAAGTAAAAAACTTTTTTGCCCTTGTGAATGTATTAGTGTAAAAAGTTGTGGCAATTGTGTAATAATAATGAAAAAGTAAGGGTAGTTTCATAGTAATATGGTTATTTATAGAAATTAGACTATTATTTTTTGACAGACGAAAATGGTAAACAGGATTATTGTATTGGGACGGAGGGAATATAACGCTTTTTTCTCTAACATTCTCACAAAACAAACACACCCTTAATAAAAATGTATTTTGTCCGTTCCAAAACAATAATCCAATTTTTAAATTTTTGTCCATCCCAAAACAACAGTCTCATTTTTATTTTTTATAAGTAGTTCTTCACCTTTTTACAGGTGAGGGCATTTTAGTCTTTTAAAAATATTTTTACACCGATTATCAATATATTATTATTATTCTTTAATTCGTATGTTCATTCAAAATGTCTATATTGTTTTGGGACAAATGAAATATTAAATTTGGTTCAAATATATATATATAAACTCATAAATTTTAGTAGCATTTTAAATAATTTTAATCAATTTTGGTTCCATATTTAAAAAATTAATAAAAATTGCCGAGGTGAATATAAGGGGTCAATGCAGCAATGATCCGAATAAAATACGACCGTGTACAATAGAATACATTCGTGTATAGACATACTATCAATACCAAGATAATATTAGAACACAACCGTGTACAATAAAATACGATCGTATATCTATAATTTTATTTTTTTATTATTTAAATCAAAATTCCAAACAATTCCTCTTCAAGTCACAACAGCCATTTTGTAATTAAATGTCACTGTTTTTGTTATTTTGCAAAGTTGGGACCATTTGATCTGATTTTTATATTAAGATTAAAATTTATGATTTTTAATTTCAATTGGGTCTATTTTTTTTTAAAAAAATAATATTTTAATATTTTATTTTATTTTTGGTAAGAAAATGACGAAAAATAGATTAAAATTCGATATACATATTAAAATTTATTTAAGGGTGTGTTTGTTTGGGGCATTGGATTTAATATCCACTATTCATCCCATTTTTTTCCTCCAAAAATATCAAATCAAATACTTATTTTTCATTTTTTATATTATACTAAAAATTAATTTTACATTCAAAACATCACATCAACGCCTGTTTATATCACATCATACAACTATTTAAATTCAAAAGTTTTACTATTTAAATCCCAATTCAAAATCCAAACCCCAAAACAAACACACGGGTATGTTTGTTATAGGGATTTTGCAAAAAAAAATTTATTATTTATTTAATTTTTTTTTTTAAAATATCAAATTAAATTTTTATTTTTTATTTTTTATATTTTATATTATTATAAAAATCAATTTTATATTTAAAATATCATATTAATTCTTATTTTTACTTCATATTACCACTATTTTAATTTAAAAATTTTACCACACTCTTAAGTATAAATAAATATATATATATATGTGTATATAGAGAGACATTACTGCAAATTATTTACTGTTCATTCGTTGGACGCATAGGCCACACTTCCACCAAAAGGCAAAAGCCCTATCGCTCCTCGCCCCTCTCTCTCTCTGTTGTTCAATATCTTTGGCGACCAATTTGGTGCTGGTGCTTCTCCTCATGCGATTGATGTGTTGTTCTCTGTGAATCCGATTGTACTCTTGCAGTTATTTATTTATTATTTTCGTTTCTTTGTTTTTGTGCATAGAGGCTTCGATTCGTTGTGGAATTAGGGTTTTCATACTAATCCAGCTGCGAATTAGCAGATTGCGTTCCAATTTCGGTCCGTGAATTGTAAAATATTGTAGAGTTGAGTTGGTTGAGTTGAGGTGAGCTATTGAATTGTCGGATTAGGGTTTTCGTGATTCGGCAATGGAGAGTACACGCAGACCCTTTGATAAATCTCTTTCCCGAGAGACGGGGCCGAAGCGCCCGCGCCTCATCGATAACGCGGCGCCGTCCGATCGAATTTCCAACGGCCGCGCCGGATTTGTTCAGCGGCCGGCGGTTCCCAATTCCGGCGGCGGAGCTTCCAGAGCTCACAAGGACCGAGATTCCGAGAGCAGCGATTCTGTTCGCGGACCGTACAGACACCAGCCGGGCCAGCAGCTGTACCATGAGCTGGTGGCTCAGTACAAGACGGCTTTGGCTGAGCTGACTTTCAACTCCAAGCCGATAATAACCAACTTGACCATTATCGCCGGGGAGAATGTACATGCCGCCAAGGCTATTGCAGCCACAGTCTGTGCCAATATTCTTGAGGTGACTCTGCCTTTACATTCAGCTTCTAGGCATGGTGATTTCTGATGGTGCAAAGATGTATAATTTGTAAATATATCTCTGGTCAATGGATTCCCTCTTTTAATTTCATTCTTTCAAGAAAAGAGTTGGTTGCCATGATTGTTCTCTGCAAGTTTTCATTTTCTTTGCATCAGTCCAGCAGATTTATGTCTACATAATCAAAACTAGTCCAAGGATGTGTGATGAGCAGGACAGAAGGAATCGGATTTAATATGCACCCAATGCTGAAATCCTAAGTGGCCTGTTCTTTTTTAAACAATTTTCTACATTGCATTCTACTCTACATGGTTGTCGGGTTTTAGTAGACAACTGCATTGGATTGTAACTGCTCAATTTGTGGACAAGAATTGATTTTTACTATCGAGAACGGTAACTGACATTGTAACGACTTGTATTTATTTTTAGCTTCTCCTTGTGGTTATTTGGTTGTATAACCTGCAGAATCGTTTGAGTATTTAATACTTACTCTTCTGTTTGGAGATTTTTTTCTGCCTTGTGTTGATTATGGTGAAATTTTCAGCATAGGATCTTGCATGAGCTTTGATTAATTACATAGATGATCTTTCTTTATCTTCAATAGATTGATATCTTCTGGGATTGCGTCTGTTTCGGTTTTTATTTATGATGCTATTTGAATGTGGTTGACACCTGTCACTAAGATGTTCATTTTATTCCCAAGTTACTGGAATCCAATTAACCATAAAAAATTATGGTTTCAATGTTTATTTTAGGTATTTTTGTAGTTTCAAAAGATGAAGTTGTTTCTTTAGAAATGAATTTTTGTAATTTGATCTTATTAATATTTGATTGTCTATTACCAGAATCTTGCTTATCTACTTTTTGGTCCTTGGATAAGATTAAGATTCAGATCTGTGATAAAAAACAGAGATATGGCCTCTATTGCATTTTGCTGCCTTCTCATTCACAAACATTTCACCAAGAAATCTGTCTGCTTTTTGGTCTTTGTTTATTATGAACGTTAATATAATGGGTTTCCATTGCATTTTCACTGCTTTGTGTTTTGTTTAGTTGCATAATCTATATATGTATGTTTTACTTATTCACGATAAGGAAGCATGCATGGCGGATGTTTTATGCGTATGTCATTCAGTTATTACACAATTCTGTACATATTTCTACTTGTGGGTATTATGCCTGATCCCTGGAAATCTATTACAGGTTCCTAGTGACCAAAAACTGCCTTCTCTATATTTATTAGACAGCATTGTCAAGAACATTGGGAGGGATTATATAAAGTACTTTGCGTCCAGGTTACCAGAGGTGAGATTTTATAAGTACCTTTTCTTTTATTATAACCTTAGAATGAATCAGGATGATTGTTTATGCAAGATTTGTGCCTACAGACTCTGTCTCCATTGGTCTCTGAATTTTTGGATTCTCTATGATAAATTTCAGGTATTTTGTAAGGCATATAGACAGGTCGATCCTCCAATGCACCCAGGGATGCGCCACCTTTTTGGCACCTGGAAAGGTGTCTTCCCTCCTCAGACACTTCAAATGATTGAGAGGGAACTTGGATTCACTAACACGTCCAATGGTTCATCTTCTGGAATAGCATCTAGAACTGAATCACAAGCCCAACGTCCTGCACACGGCATTCATGTAAACCCTAAATATTTGGAGGCTAGGCAGCGACTGCAGAGTGCCAGGGTAAGTATCTCACAAGCCTTTGAAATAAGCATTATTTGTTGTATGAAGATTCCTGACTCGTGATGCTGCAGGAAAGCAATCTTATTATATTCCAGTTATATATTGAAATGGCATCATGAAGACATACTTGCCTTGGATAAGAACAGAAGAGAAACCAATGTGTAACATAAAGGAAGAAAATTGATTTGCTTTGGCTGAGACTTTTGAATGGCATAAAATGATGTGGAAGGTGTTGAGAAGAGTTGCCTGAGGCATGCCTTCTCGGATGCTATTTTATTTTCTCTCTCTCTCTCTCTCTCTCGTAATAAAGTGAATAAAACAAGCCCCTGAACTTGGTCATACATTTATTTAGTCACCTTTGTTGTCTTTGCATTCATTACCCACTCTGTGCTTCGTATAATTACAGAAATGGTATTCCTATGATTTTGTTTATGTTGTCTCTCCGTTGGTAAATCATAATTTAATGTAGACTGGCTTATCAATTCTTGAGTACCTATTATCGAGGATCTTGTTACCAAATTGCGACCCAATTAATGAAGCCTCTTTAAAGACGCCCTCCATGGCTGAAGTTACTTGGGGCCAACACATATATTAGCTAATTAGTTAGCCTGGTTGCTGCAGTAGAATGGCATTGATTTGTCTATAAATGTTTTTGGTATATTGGATTGCATTATATAGGTATCTGTTTTCATTTATTGTATCTTTTAGTTTTGCTTTTTTGCACCAATCTGAGATTCCTCATTTCTATAAAGATGTCAATTAGTCATCTGAAGACTCATGTTTACTGCCACAATGTTCGAGTGAGATATTAGAATAACATAATGTTAACCTGTTCTAATTTTAATTCTTTGAAGGTAAGAGCAGACAGTGACACTAGTGGAGTCCAAGTGAACTCCCATGAGGATATTGAGCCACTAGGGAGAACTGTGAGTGTTGGTTCAGGGAGATCATGGGCCAATCCCTATGCTAAGGTGCGGTAATACATAGTTATCTTGGGATGCTCTTTTGTGCCCCTGCCCTTGTATTATTGACTTTTGAATTGCTCAAAACTTGCAGTCTGTTCAGCATCATCCGAGAGATCATGCAAGTGACCTAGTTCGTGACAGAAGTTCAACTGCAGCTTATGCAGATGCAGAATATGGATCCAGTGATATGTCTAGAATGTTGCACAAAAAGAATGGTTTTGGTCTGAAGCATGGACTTGAAAGTTTTGCTGCACACGACTCTACAAATTTAGACTCGGATCTACAGCTCAATGAAAACATAGCCAGTGGAAGTTCCAACTGGAAGAACACCGAGGAAGAGGAGTATATGTGGGATGAGATGAATTCAATATCCACCGTTCGTGGTGCAATTAATGCTTCTGCTAAAGATCACTGGGCACCTGATAATGATCATCGATTGGTAAGTACTGTTAATGATTCTACTTGGTTACATTGTCTGCATTGCTGTCTCATTATTGTTGGGCTAAACAAAGTTGAGAGTGGTTTATGTCATGATTGCTTTATTAAATGAGGCTACATTTTATATTTCATGTGGTGATATTATGTTAGGCCTTTCAAGAAGAAACATTTGTGGCACTCCTGCCAATGATTAAATCTTTTATGTCTTGTGTAGGGCTTCGACAGTAATCTCAGTGCGCAGCAAACTATGAATGATATTGGTTCAAGGGATTATGATGAAGCCTCAGTTGATTCTATGCCTATGGATTTTCGGCAGATGGATACTGGAACTCGAATACCAGGGAGGAATCTCCTGGATATTGGTAAGAATGCATCAGGCTACAATGAGGCATATCCGTCCGGGTTGAAAAGTTCTCAAAGTACAGTGAGCCGGACATCTCTTCCACAGTTGGGTAATCCTCATATTGGAACCTCAGGCTTTAAATCTTCGACAAAGGCATGGTCAGGGCCCACAATTTCCGGGACAGAGCACCCACAGGCTCTTGGAGCTGCACCACTCTCAGTGCAGCCACGATTGCACCAACGCCCTCCGTCACCATCTCTCTTGCCACACAATCTGAATCAACAGCGTGGAAGCAATTTTGTTGAGCGCCACCAGCCTTTGATTGGACCGAAGGATCCAAGAAAGCCTCTAGGTCCTAAAAATACAGAATATGGCGATCTGTTTTCTGAAAGTTCTCTGCCTTCAACTTCTCAGGATATTTATCCTGCTAGCATGCAGAGAGTGAAACCCCAAAGCCTGCGGCCTTCACTCGATATGATGTCTTCAACTCAACACAGTAAAATTGTGCAGCCAGGTCAAGGACAGAATTTGGCAGCAAAACAAATGTTGGGATCAGAAAGCCGCTCAAGTATGGGGAATTCATCATCTGACCAGTCGAATCCGCTTACTATCGACTCACCGGGACAATCCTTTACTAGCTCTTCATTAGATGCTGCATTGAAAACTAAGGCAAGTTCACAAGAAGCTGTGCCTGAGTCAGCTGCCGCTCATTCGGCCTCCAATCCTGTTTCTAGCCTTATAAGCTCTTTGGTTGCAAAAGGATTGATATCTGCTTCGAACTCTGATTCACTGCTGTCAGCCTTACCTGAGATACCTCAGCAACCTCCGGTCAGAGGTTCTGAAATCGCAACCACAAGTTCAGCTACAGTTTCTCCTGTTCCAGCGCCAAGGTCAAAATCTCCCGTACCTGTAAAAGATGATCCCATTTCACATAAGCCTGCTGCAAAGGGTTCTGAAGATTTCCCCCATTCAACAACAAAAGTCGGGCATCGTATGGGTTTTGAATTCAAGTCTGAAGTGATTCGCCAATTTCATCCCGATGTGATCAGTGACCTCTCCGACCTTTCACATAGGTGCGGGATATGCGGTCTTGGACTCAAACTCCAAGAACAGCTAGATAGACACACGCAATGGCATGCATTGCAGGTCTCTGATGGAAGTCCTTCAAGCAAGATTTCTAGGAGATGGTATAACGATGCAGTTTATTGGATTGCTGGAAATCATGCTTCTCATGCTGGCGACAGTTCCGCCGATGTGTCGGGAGATTCAATAGAAATGATTGAGAATGATGACCAGATGATCCCTGCTGATGAAAGTCAATTTGCATGTGTATTGTGTGGTGAGTTGTTTGAAGATTTTTACAGTCGGAAAAGGAACGGATGGATGTTCAAAGGAGCTGTTTACTTGACCACCCCGTCGTCTGAGATTCATGAAGGCATTGGAACAAAAAGTCCTACTGCTGTACAAAGTCCTATTGTCCATGCTGATTGCATGTCGGACGACTCTTTGCATAGCTTGAGAATCATTTGTGATGTCAAACTGGTAAGTATTTATTTCCCTTCTTAAATAGTCGAATCCCAATCTCTTCTCGTACTTTTTACGTCGACCCAATCATCTTGACTCGATCCAATTCGCAGGAAAAAGATTCATGATGAGATGGAGAGAGTGCAAGTAATAAGGTATCGAATCTTGTACAATTCTGTATGCTCACTTTGAGAATCCCGGCTGCGCATGCCAGGGAAATGAACAGAAAAATTTTGTACGTTTACCATTGAGCTGCGCTGCTATATAGGTTCTTTATTCCTTTTGTTTATTGTTGTGTGTTATCTTGTCGATGGATGATGGTTCTTCTGTCACAACACACACTCATTTGTTTCATTTGTTGTTGTGTGATGAGGCTTGCTGATTATTGTTAATGCCGGCGTCTGGCTTGCAGTGAGCGACATACATACATGCATACATATCGAGCCTGCCTGTATACCTGTTTTTAACATGCAACGATGCATCAGGGGAGACATCTTTGACGTTGGGAAAGCAGCTTGTTGTAACCCTTTTGGTATGTACTGTTCTGTTCAATTACTCAATATATTGAAGTTGATCAATTTATGGCTTGATTGATGTTATTTGGTTTTGATGACCCTTAGAAGTTGTGTAAATGCCATTGAAAAAACTATAGGGTGTGTTTATCTGTAATATGTTTGTTTTTGTTTTTTTTTTTTGTAAAATTTTTTAATAGAAGTTCTATTATGGAAAAAAAGTTATTTGATGAGACTGTGTTGGCTTTTGGAACTCTTGCGGTAAGGTATTTGGTTAACTTTTGCAATGAGTGCAATTCTTACTATTTAGACAGTGACTTTTGGAATTTTGAGAAAATAAATTGAAAAAATTATTTGATATAATATTTTTGTGAGAAAGAATATTATATTTAACAGTATTTTTGAAAAAAAAATGATGATGATGAATAGTGTAATTTATTGGGGATTTTGCCGAATCATTTCTTGGATTGAGATTGGAATTTTGTTTTTGTTTTTATTTTTTTGTTATATCCATTTTATCATTTTGCTATTAATGCTCTTTTTTTTTACCTTGATTATATTTTTTCTATTTCAATTGATATATATATATAATGATTTTTATTTTATTTTTTAATTTCAATTGATATATTTTTATTTTTAGTAAAATTTATTAAATTAAAATATATTTAATAAATATAAATTAATTTAATTAATTTCATGATACAATAGATCAAATCCCTACTCATATAAGACTCTAGGATCAAATACGGATCTAACGGTCAAATGAGAATGTCTCAGTTCTTAATATACAAGGAGGGTTTGTCATTCTATATAAATATAAATTCAAAACATACTACTTCAATTCAATTATGTAAATACAAATTAAATGTACTCAAAATTTTTAATTAGGTAAACATTTTAATATTTAATATAATATTTCGTGAAATGGAATATATATTGATTTTTTTTTAAAAGGAAATAATCACATCAAAACAGTACTAAACAAAGAAAAAATATTTCGTGTTTTCATTGCTATTTCGTGCGCAACAAATATATATATATATATATTTTTATTCATGGAGTATTTAATTATTGTTATTATTATTTTTAAAAAAAAAACTCAAATGAACAGTATGCAAATTTTTACGACAATCCACCAAAATCCGATCTTCAATAAATCAAAGACGCATGCAATTCCCAAAATTTGAAGTACGAACATCTTCCCCGATTCGGAGGACTCCAACTTTGATCTGGTTTCGCGAAGAATGGAGGATAATTTGCCCAGTTTTGATCACTTATGGCCGCCACAATCAGGAAGTCTCTTCGATTCCTCACAGTTAAGTTACAGTTGCAGAAGGGATTCCGCAGTTGCACATTAGGTGTTCGATAAAATGCCGCAGAAAGAAATGATAATGATGGCCATGGAGCATTCATTATTCGCTCAAGCATGCCACAGACATCCATGATTCTCTGAATTCGCAATCTTGGCTCGCATTTCTCATCCTTTTACACTAATGTTCTTGATTGAAACTTACAGGCATCAGAGGTCCCTCAATCCAGTGCCGTTGTCAGACTCACTTCAAGTTGAAGTAAAGTTGATGCAGGGAAATCTCCTACTCATGCATGCCTATACTTTTTGTTTTATCTTTTCAATACCAGGTAAAATAACTCAATCTGAATTGTGGGAATTTTGGTTTGATCATATATATATGTTACAATTTATTTATATGTTTCTTTAAGATATTAAGGTTATGTTTATATTGAATATAGTGGTTGGATGTGATATTTTGTATAAAAGATAAAATAAAATAAAGTCGAATTTACTTTAGATGTAGGTTGAGTAAGGTGAGAAGGGCGAAAACAAATTCGAACAAAGCAATATTGGATTTGAGGGTGCATCATGATTGTCCTCGAATTCCAGAATCTTCTACTTTTGGTTGCCAAATGGAGAAGGTTTTTTTGTCCCTGTAAAAGTCTTCTTTCTTTGGTTAATTGGTTGTTGTGCAATGGCCATGCCAGAAAAAGTGTTGGAGAGGTGTAATTCTTGGGAGATCCTTGGAATTCAACACCAGGTGTATCCACCCCATTCATTCATTAGGCGTGTGTGTTCTTTTCGTGTTTTATAGATTTTGATTTTTGCTGTTTTATGGGGCGAAATAGTGTTGGATGTGATGTTTGTATAAAAAATGGGTATGTTTTTATTGAGAACGACGAAATTGTATAGTAAACAAAAACTGAAAAAAAAAAACAGAGCTAATTGTTGGATTCCATTGAGCTCCCAAATCACTCCTAGTAGAGATCTTAAGTTTCTTTATAGAAAATTGTTGCAGTCAAATCCCTAAGTTTAGGTTTGGTTTTGAGTTAAGTATTTGAATTAAATAAGATTTGACTTGATTTATAGTGAAGAGAATAGTAATCCACTTATAAGTATATATTTTGAAAAGATCAAACTATTAGATTATCCCAAAATCTTCTTGGAAAACTTCAAGTTTAGGACCTACTTTAATCGATCCCGAACTGTAGTTTGTGAGTTTCTGAATAGATATATCGACAGAGCAAGTTAGCAGTGAATAAATGATGATGTTGATCGGTGAACTTTAGGAAGGCGTTATCAGATTTCAAGATACAAACTTTTATAAAGATCTGAAGATATTATGGATCTGGTGTCGAAAAGTTTATGTTCACTTGTTACTGATTATGTAGTGTATTATATGGGGGCACTTTATGGCTTTTTTTTTCTTTTCTATGTTAAAGATTTATTTGATGTGATATTTTTAAAGAAAAAAATGAAGAGATTCAATAGTAAAATACTGCAAAGAGAAGAAAGCGTTCGATTCTCTTTTTTTTTTTTCGGGGGAATGTTTAATCTCACATTGTTTACGAACCATGTAGCCAAAACTCGAGTTAAGCATGCAGTTTGGTCCACCATTCTTGTTAGTATATACTTTGAGGAACATATCAATACATGACTTTATACTGAAATCAGACTTTTTGGGGTGTCTATCTAAGCCATGTGCAGTTTCACTCTCTATTCCCATTTTTTTGTAGGGTTAGTTGAGGTAGGGCATCCTTTAAAAAGGACATCTCTACATTCTCATGTCAAAACTTGAGTTAGCAAAATTTAATGTTCCCAACTGCAACTCCAATCCGATCCAATGTCGATAGCTAGCACAGGTGGAGCCGCGAAAGGGATGTTAACATCACTTTTCTTTTCCTTTTTGATTGTTGAGAGAATTTTTGCCATATTAGTTTCTGCTCTCCTTAATTTCTCATTCTCCTTGTTCATGGTAGGGATTGAATTCGATTGCTATTCTGTGTTTTTCTATTGACTCTAATTATGGCATTCAAGTATAGATACTTTGGTTTGATCACTCGGGTAGGTAGCTTTACAGAATCTGCATATTCCTTCTGGTTAACTAACTTCTTTGTCATTACACATTCGTCGCTTGATTAGATTTAAATTCGATCTTCACTGTTTTTGTGTTAAATTCGCAGGTTTGTTCATTCTTTGCAGGTTGTTTTGAATTCTCCTTTTTGAGCTGTATTTGAAGACAGGGATTCGATTGTTTTCGAAGAATCCAGTTTAGAAATAACCCGGTAAGCCTGATCCTTACAAGATTGATCATTTGATCAAATATCTACTTATCAGACGATTAATTTTCGACTAACTGCGAATTTTATTTGATTAATTTCTTGTTTACAGTTACAAAGGAAAGACTGTTAGAGAAGGAAGGAACATAACATAATTCAGGTCTCAAGCACTCTGTTTTCTTCCTTCACAGGTAAAGCATATAATCCCAAACAAAACTTCATGACAGTATCTTCGACGACAACGACAACGACGCACGGCTTATTTCGATTCTGACAAGATGAAAAAGGGCATTGGATTTTGTCACCGCGAAGGTGCGATCAAGGTCTCGAATTCACAATGTCGCAGCCCTACGAACTACGATTCACCGAATCCGAGTCCCTCGATCCAACAGGCAGCAACGTGCACGTATCGAGTCAAATTATCGACAGGGAAACAGGTCTGGATCAGCCTAACATGGTCGAAACACGGCTCGTCAATCGTAATCTCCGATCACGTCTTCTCATGCAGCGATTCGGGACAAAGCTCAATCCATTTCCGCAAGGGTCGAGGCACGAAGTTCCTCGAAACGAAAAGCCTGCGAATCGAAGTCCTCTGGAATTTCTGCCATGCACAATACGTCTCGGGACAACCCGAGCCGACGAGCGGGTTTTACCTCGTTGTGCTGCTCGACTCGGAGCCGGGCCTGATCCTCGGCGACATGGACAACAAACTCGACGCAGCAGCAGCGGCAGCGGCGGCGGCGGAGAAACGCGCATGCGACTGCAGGCTGGAGTCGCGGAGCGAGCGATTCTCTGGCGCAACGGCAGTTGCGACGACGGCGAGGTTCCGCGAGGGGGGGCGGCAGCATGCGGTGGGGATCGAGTGGCGGCGGGGGGAGCCGGCGGTGCGGGTGTGCATGGACGGGAGGAGCGTGGCGGAGGTGAGGAAGGTCCGGTGGAACTTCCGGGGGAAGGAGACGGTGTTTGTGGACGGGGTGGTGGTGGACGTGATGTGGGATGTTCATGATTGGGTGTTTGGGGAGAGGTCAGGGGAGGCTGTGTTCTTGTTCAGGACTAGGGAGGGTGGTGGTGTTAATGGAGGGGAAAGTTGCAGGCTGTGGTGGATGGAGGAGGTGGAGAAGAAGGGTTTGATGAACTATTGTCAAGAAGGGTTTTGTTTGAGGATTTGTGTTCGTAAGAATATGGGTTGATGATTATGGTGTTTTTGGTTGGTCTGTTTGTTTGTATTTATTTTTATTTTTATTTTTTTATATGACGTGGAAATTTGCAATTGTTATCGGAGAGTACGCACTAGGTAAATTTGCTGCCGAATTTAATACTTGCAAATTGAGTCTGATAAGACAAATTACACTGGACGAAGAAGCATGTATGGCAATTTATAAGTTCTTCGTAAACAGGCTATTCCTTACGGGATCTTGATTTTATTTTTTTTTGGGTTTCCTGATGTGGGTTTGTTGTTTTTTTGGCTTACCCTGATGGGAATAATATATATAGATGTGTTATGTGTTTATTTTGTGCGTAAGGATTTGATTTGTATGTATTGATGAATTAACTGTACATCAATGTATATTGACCCTATGTTTATATTGTGTTATATATATATATATATACACGCACACGGTGCCGACGATATTATTACAGACAGTACATCTAATATTAATACCCTCTATACCAGTACAATAATTTTGTTTATCATTTTTGTCCGTCTCAAAACAATAGTCTCATTTCCATAAATACTCGTATCACAATGAAATTATCCTTACTTTTTCATTATTATTATACAAATATCACTATTTTTTATACTAATACATTCACAGTGACAAAAAAATCTTTTAATCATACTTTTTACCAATTATCAATATAATATCAATGTTCCTTAAATTTCGTGTCCAACTCAAATAAGACCATAATTTTGGGACGGAGGGAGTATAATACAAATATAACATATAAATTAATAGCGTTATGTTGTAATTTCATATAGCACATCCAACTATTGATTTTAATACATCATACTATTATACAACACATTTATAATTATAAATAAACAACAAATATTTTTATTATACACAACATATGCTTTCTATAATAAGACTGTGTGATGTTTATTTATTAATATTAATGTTTTTCTAAAGGATACTTCTCATGACCAAAAAAATTAATATAATATTATAGTCTCATACAATGCACTCAATAATTGATTTTAGCATACACAGTTGTAATTATCAACAAACAATATATACTTTTATTATACAAAATAAGTGTTTTGTATAATAAAATTGTACTCCCTCCGTCCCATGTAATATGAGTGTATTATTGTAGACACGAGAATTTAGGTAAAGTATAATTAATAAGTAATTAAGAAATATATTAGAAAAAATAATTATTATTTAATAAAAATAATTTTAGATTAAGATTAAGATAACTATAGTTTAATTAAAATTAAAAAAATTAAATTTTAAATTTTAAAATATGATTAAAGTGTATAATTAATTTTTCAAAAAAGGAAAAGACAAATTATGTGGGACGGACGAAAATAAAAAATATGAACAAATTATATGAGACGAAGGGATTATATTATTTATTTATTAATATTAATATTTTTTTTTTGTAAAGAACACTTCTCAATTCTCATGACCATAAAAAAGCAAGACTTCTGAGTTATTTTTGTCTATTGATTGGATCAGTAATTAATGTTAAATAGAATAATTTGAAATAATTTAAAAATTAAATAAAAAATATATATTTATTTATTTTTATTTGAATGATACGATCACATAAGATAAAATAAGATAAAATAAAATAAAATAAAATATATATGTATAATGTAATTAATTATTTTAAATTTTAAAAATATTAATTGGGAGCTTGGAGGAAGTAGTTAATGCGCTGTTACTATTAGCCATAAATGGCTTGTTTAGGAGTGATAAAATATTAAATTAATTCTAATTCTAAATTTAGGGAGGAAGAGACAGACAAGGAAGGGAAGGGAAGGGAAGGGAAGGGAAGGGGTGGGAGCATACTTGGTGGAGGAAACGTAAGCGCGACAATTTCGACGGTCCAGATTTCCCCCGATGGGTATAAATGCTTCACCGCGCACCTTCCCTCTTCACCACGATCAATCTGCCTTCCAGCCATCACTATCATTCATTCATACGTCGACCTATCAATCATGTCTTGCTACAGGGGAAAGTACGCTGGTATGTATGTATGTATGAATTACTGTATTCCATGTTTTGAGAAATGTTGTTGATTTTTATTGTGATTTTCCATGTTGTAGAATAAATATGAATTAATGAATGAATGGCTGTATTTCCTTTTTTATTCGATTGCTGGCTGATTACTGATTTGCATTTTCCGATCGATCTGTTTGATTCGTTTTTGTTCTTCCGAATGGAGGTTACGCTAATGGAATTGAGCATTTGAAATGTGCAGCGGTTTCGATTTGTTTTCGTATCTTATAATGCTGTTGAGTTTGCAGTTGCGAGACCTTTAATTGTTTTAATTCATCGCTGACTTGGTTATAGATTTAGATCAGTTGCTTCGAATTGTGTTGAGTTCTGTTCGATTCACACTTCCATGGAGAAATTTAACAATTGCTTGCGGCAAACGATTTCGCAATTTTTACCTCACTGGCGGTTCCAATTTTTGGTTATAGATTTAGATCAGTTGTTTCGAATTCTCTTTCCTAATTATGTTGAATTCTGCTCGATCCATACTTCCATGGATGCAAAACTCTTTGTAGAGAAATTAAACAACTGCGGTAAATGATTCTGCAATTTTTTCCTCACCGGCGGTTCCAATTTTGGCAGATGAGCTTATTAAGAACGCTGCATACATCGGCACTCCCGGCAAGGGTATCCTCGCCGCCGACGAGTCCACCAGCACCATCGGAAAGCGATTCTCCGGCATCAATGTCGAGAACAACGAGGCCAACAGGAGAACTCTCCGAGAGCTTCTCTTCACAGCTCCCGGAGCTATGCAGTACCTCAGCGGCGTCATCCTCTTCGAGGAAACTCTCTACCAGAAAACCGCCGCAGGTACGTCCAATCGATCAAATTGAAATTGAAATTTCAATAGAACGATCAATTGAAATTCCAAATCGATTATGTGTTGGGTATTTAATTAAAAATGCGAAAAAAAGTTAAATGATTAGTCTCTACATATATATTAGTTTATTTTGATTTAAAAAAGTTAATAAATAAATAATCAAATAAAATAGGTTGATATACAGATAAATTTTAACATGATCTGGTCTGGTCTGGTCTGGTCTGGTCTCAGGGAAGCCATTTGTGGATGTGATGAAGGAAGGCGGAGCTCTGCCGGGAATCAAGGTGGACAAGGGCGTGGTGGAGCTCCCCGGCACAAATGGCGAAACGACGACGCAGGGGCTCGACGACCTCGGCCAGCGCTGCGCCGAGTACTACAAAGCCGGCGCGCGTTTCGCCAAGTGGCGCGCCGTCCTCAAGATCGGCGCCAACGAGCCGTCCCCGCTAGCCATCCACGAGAACGCCTACGGCTTGGCGCGCTACGCCATGATCTGCCAGGAGAACGGCCTCGTCCCCATCGTCGAGCCGGAGATCCTCGTCGACGGCCCCCACGACATCGACCGCTGCGCCCACGTGACGGAGCGCGTGCTCGCCGCGTGCTACAAGGCGCTCAACGACCACCACGTCCTCCTCGAGGGGACGCTCCTCAAGCCGAACATGGTCACCCCCGGCTCCGACGCCGGCGGCAAGAAGTTGGCGCCGGAGGTCATCGCCGAGTACACTGTGCGCGCCCTCCAGCGCACGATGCCGGCGGCCGTCCCGGCGGTGGTGTTCCTCTCCGGCGGGCAGTCGGAGGAGGAGGCGACGGTGAACCTGAACGCCATGAATAAGCTGAAGACGAAGAAGCCATGGTCGCTGACATTTTCGTACGGACGTGCCCTGCAGCAGAGCACGCTCAAGGCATGGGCGGGGAAGGCCGACAACTTCCAGAAGGCGCAGAAGGTGTTTGTGGAGAGGTGCAAGGCGAACTCCGAGGCTACGCTCGGCACTTACCAGGGCGGCGCCGGCGCCGCCGAGGGGGCCTCCGAGAGCCTCCATGTTAAGGACTACAAGTACTGATTCGATCATTCATTGAGGTAACCATGTTTTGTTGTTTTTTTAGCTAATTAAGCCTAAGCTCTATAGGAAATTATTATTTTATTATTATTTTTTTTTTGTGGTAATAAGGGCAGGATCGAGGAACGTGATCGGCCTGCCCTGCCATGCCCATAAGATTGGGCATGTTAGATCTTTCTCTAGATCATAAACATCGCTTCCATGTTCAATGATGGAAGGATTTTGAGGATTGTAATTCTTTTTGTTTTTGAGCGTGGATCATCGCGAAATCTCTTGTTTTATTTCATTTTTTCAAAGATTAATGTTGTTTGTTCACTTAAAAAAACAATGGGAGTGCTAATTGACTCTTGTATATAGATAAATTAATAATACGTATTTCTACTAGTTTAAATTAATATGTACAAAAATATATATGTACGTTATCTTTGTGTTGTTCTAGATAATTTTCTAGAATATGTTAAATTTGAAACTATATTAAAAAATGCTAATAAACAAGAGTGAGGTTTTAGAAATTTTAAATAAATACACTTCGAGTGGATTATACTTATGAAGAATGTAGCGGTAGCTGAAGTTCAAGAATGTATTGCAATATCAATAGATGAAGAATATGATACACTCGATGGGCCATTATCAGAAAATGAGAAGTTGGATTTGGGTTAAATTCCTCCGTGTGAATTAGGTGTCACATTGTGAGTTAGTTTGTTAGGAATTCTGTTTTTCGATTTTGGTGTGTGCATAGTCCTTTCATTAAATATAGAGAAAGACTTGTGCATTAGTTTTCCTCATTTTTGTTGTCATCAAGCTTTTCATGTAGGTGAGTTCTTCTTTTATTTTTCTAAATTCTTCTCTTGTATTTTCAATTTTTGCAATTATAATAGAGGATTGGATTGGGCAATTTCATTTTGTATTTCATTATCTTCTTATGAATTCAATATCAATGTTTTCAATTCTCGATCTACTTATTTCTGCGGATTCAAATGATTTTCAAAAGCTACATATATGCACAACATATTTTACCTTTTCTTGCATAGTGACTAGTTACATTGGATCGATCACCCAGGATTATTGTCGAAAATCATTTTGAATTTTGATTGATGAGCTTCTTGTTACTTTTGCATCTTTCTTGGATGAAGAATATACGACGACCGACGATTGGATTTACCCGTACTACAAAGACAAAATCGCCCCGACAGAAAAGCGTTTGAAATTTATTGCATTTTATGTTGATTCATACTCTCAATAATTCAAGCATGTTTGTTTTATGAAATAGTTTGATTCTTTGTTTTATGAAATAGTTTGATTCAATATTTTTATGGGTATACATTTCTAAAAAATCAGGCTTCAATCTGATAGCAAATAGATTTTGGATGGTTTGTGCTTTCAATGCAATTTGGGTAATTTTCATTATGATTAAGAAATTATGGTAAATTTTCTGGGCTATATGCTTAGTGGTATGTTTGTTATGATTTTTTTTTTTTTTTTTTTTTTTTTTTTTTTTTTATAACGTGGGAATCCGCAGTCGCTATCCAAAAATGCGTACTGGTGACATGAGGCGTCGAGGATTTGATTTTTCTAAGATCAAGATCAAGATCAACTTCTTTGCCCTTTGATTTTTCTTTGGATTTGTCCACCTATTCTTCTATTTTGATTTTTGTAAGTCACAATATTGGACAATAATTATATGTGATGAAGTATTATTGGTCCCTTACCTAATCTTTTTATTTTAGTTTGATCTCACTAATACTTGTATTCATCTTTTTGCATTTTATTTTAGTTTGATACAATTCCTTTTGTGCAGTGCTAGAAAGGAATATCATGTTGCTTGTCTGCATAAATCTAGAATGTGGGATCTGAAAGTCAATCTCTGATGTTCTATTCAAACTCTAATTTGAGTTTTTGTTAGCTTTTCCAATATAATACTAACTCCGTCCGGATAAGGGTCTAATTTACTTTTTGCGTATTGATATTTGAATATTAATTATTATATCAAAATATAATACAAATTAAAAAAAAAATACAAAAATACTTTCATTAGCATCTTATAATACTAATTGAATGACATTTATAAAAAATATATATATACAAATATAACGATATTTTTAATGCTAAGTAGAAGATACAAAAAATAAATGTGACGAAAGAAGTATTTATGTTCGAAATTTTGTTATAGAAACTTTCTGGTGATAAAGTGGTTTTCTACAAGATTTTTTAGATGCTCTGGGAAAGTCTTGGAGTGCTCTTGAGGCAATTCCATAGGCGACAGACTGGATTTGAGAAGATTCAGTGTAGCGTAGTTAGGAATAAGATTTGAGGGAAAAAAAAATATATAATTAAAATTTAAAATTAAAATTAAATTTGAATAATTATAAAAAATTAAAATTTAAAATTTAATAATAATAATAATATGCTAATATTTTAAAATATGAACTATTTTTTAATTATGAGCCATGAGCCATGAACAGTTGCTACGGAAAACTTTTTTTGTAACATGTAAGCTATCTTCTTATTATTTGAATTTTCCAAATATATATATCTATGACCAATAGAACAAATGGACCGGCTGCAACCGCCCATCTTATATTTTTTAGGGTTTATTTATTTATGTTTTTTTTTTTTTTTATATAATTGTATTTAAAAATATTTTATCTAATATTTATTTATATTATATCAATTATTTTTTTATTGATTTTAAACTAACTTAAAATCCTTTTAAAACATATGTAAACACATCATTATGCTCACTCAATCCTTCGAGGTTGACAAAGTTTCAAAGTCATTTTTTTCTACTAATTATTTAGCGGCATCGTTAATGAAAATATATTGTTCAATTTTTGTATTAAAATATACTTCATCCGTTCCAATACAATAATCATGTTTATTATTTTTGTCCGTCCCAAAACAATAGTCTTATTTCTATAAATAATCGTATAACTATAAAACTACTCTTACTTTTTTCATTATTATTACATAATTGTCACTACTTTTTACACTAATATACTCACAAAAACAAAAAAATATTTTACCCGTACTTTTTACTCACGACCAATATAATATTAATATTACTTAAATCCTGTGTAAAATACAACTCAGATTATAATTTTGAAACGAGAGAGTAATTGAAATTAAAATTTAAAATCCAAGCACAAATTAAACAAATCATATGCTAATAGTATTATAAAAGTGATATGACAAATTAAACTAAGTTAGATGAGATGCCAATGCACCCTACCTACCTCCCTATCTTCCATCTATGTAGCTAACCTAGGCTAATAAACTAGTAGTAATAAGCTACCTACGTCATAAATAAATAATTAAATAAATAAATATTTAATTTAATAAGCGAAAATCGAATTCCATCTTCCAAATTGGGGTTATCAGAAGTGGGCCGACAGCTCTCTGAAGACAGGTCAGTAACTGGTCAAATCAAACCTATCTATCTATCTATTTATATATACATATAATTTATAATATATTTTTTTAATAATAAATTATTTATTTTAATATATAATTATTTTTATTAATATATTTTTTTTAATTACTTAATAATTACACAATAATCTGGTGGTATGAAGATAAACTGGCTTCTTGGTCTTGCTTGTCATACATAATTGTCCTATATGATACATGATGTTATATTTTATATAAGTTAATTTATATTTGTTAAGTATATTTTAATTTAATAAATTTTATTCAAGAAAAATATATCAATTATTATAAAATAGACAAAAAAAAAAAAAAACATCAATTAAAATTGGATAAAAGGAGTATAATATTTTTAAACAAATTAATGTTGATGAATTATAAAAGAAATTCGAAAATATATTTCTGCATATATCTCTCCCGTTTAATTTCATCCTTATAAAAAAAAATACTAATTTTTTGGTTTGTCATTAAAAAATATTTTCATTTTTTTTAAGTAAAAAATTATTTTACTTTTATACTATTTTTTACTATAAAAAAATTAACAATTATTACTCATTTTTATTAAAACTCGTGCTCAGTTACATGAGCAAATATTTGCATGACGAATGGAATGAAGTAATAATATTATTATTATATGTATAAATAGAAAAAAAAAATAAAAAATAAAAAATAATGAAGATGATAGTATGATGATGAGATGAGAAGGAAAAGGAGAGGGAGAAAACAACTGATGACTGTTACAACATTTAATTCTTCCCTTTTTTAACTGTTTCCATAATTTTCACTTCACTTACGTCATCCTCATGTCAATGCCTCCTCTTTCACTCTCACTCTTACTCTCACTCCTACTTTTGTCTTATACTCCTTAAAAAGAATTTTAAGTACTTTCTCCTTTCCGTAATACTACTCCATCCGATTAAATATAATTATCTTATTTATTATTTTTTTTATTTTAAAATAATAATTTTATTTTCATAAATAACTATATTACCGTAAAATTATTTTTATTTTTTTATTTTTATTAAACAATTGCCACTAGTTTTTACAGTTATATATTCACAAGAGCAAAAAAGTCTTTTATCCATATTTTTACCGACTACCAATATAATACTCCCACCGTCCCAAAAGTACAGTCTTGTTGTGTTGGGCACGAGATTTAAAAAATATTGATATTATATTGATAGTTGGTAAAAAGTAAAAATAAATGACTTTTTTGCCCTTGTGAGCATATTAGTGTAAAAAGTAGTGGCAATTGTGTAATAATAATGAAAAAGTAAAGATAATTTTATGGTGATATGATTATTTATGGAAATGAGACTATTGTTTTGGGACGGACAAAAATAGTAAACAAGACAATTGTATTGGGACGGAGGGAGTATCAATATTCCTTAAATCCCGTGTCCAACCCAAGTAAGACTATATTTATAAGACGGAGGGAATACTATTTTTCATTTTTTTCTTTCCAAAAAAAGAATACAATTTTCTTATTTAGTAATTGTATTACATACCTAACATAATTAATACTTCTAATATATTACACAAATATCATTTCTTTTACATTACACAATCTAATAGAAACATTGTTATCTTTTTTTAATTATAAACCAATATAATACTAATATTAAAAAATTCACGAGCAAAAAATAAACGTTACTCTTCTTTCGAGACGGAGGTAGTTTTGAATTTTTATAATAATATTCTTTTTTTTAATTAAAAGTATTTTTTTTTTACTATTTTTATATGTTTGTTCAATTTATTTTTAATAAAAGTAATTATATATTAATATAAAAGTATTTTAAATTTTTATTTAAATTATAAATATATTATTATATATATAATTATTTTATATATAAAATCAAATTATAAAGATATCAAAATTTCTTGTATACTTTGATTTATTAATAAAATTTTAGTATTATTTTTTAATTTACTATAAAATGTAATTTGAATGAAATTGAAGGAGTAATATTTTATTAATTAATATGAATGTATAAAATAATTTTGATATTTTTACCATTTTGTATTATATATATACATAATAATATATTTGTAATTTATATAAAAATTAAAATATTTTTATATTTGTTTGTTATTATTTTTACTATAATAAAAAAAAATATTTTTAAAAGAACATATAAAAATTTTAGAAATATATTTTCAATTTAAGACAAAAAGAATATATATTATTCAATTTTTTTTTTTTTTTTCAAATGAATTTGACTATGTTCCTTGTAAATAAATAATCTAACGTCTTTCTAGTTTAATTTTGCAATTAAGTTAGATTGATTTAAAAGTTTAAAAAAATAATGAATAAAAAAATACAAACAAGATATATAAATCAATACTATTTAGTATTTATAATTTTTAGTGAAATATATTTACTCTGTCAAAAAAAAAATTAAAATAAAGTCCAATCTCTATTTTTGTCAATTATATAAAAAAATAGATGTGTATATCTTTTGGTAAAGATACATGTCATCTGTAACCTAATTGTGTGTTCATTTGATCAGGACATAAATTTTAGAAAAATAAATAAAAATAGAATTTTTTACTTTCTTGGGTAAAGAAAAAATATAAAAAAAGTGATATTTTTTTACTAAAAAAAATAAAAATAAATTTGGATAATAACAAAAAAAAAAAATGATAATAGAATTGAATGACGGAGGGAGTACTATGTTTTGTTTTTACTGGATAAAAAGTACTCCTTTCATCCCAATTATGGTGTCACAATTACGATAGATACGAGAAGTATAATTAGTAAATAATTAAGAATATATTAGTAAAACTAATTATAATTTAATTATATATTAAGATTAAGAGCAAATAATTATAAATTATAAAATATAAAATATGACTAAAATGTAAATACTTTTCCAAGAAGGTAAAGTAACATATTATGTAACGGATAAAAATAAAAAATATGACATAATATGTGGGACATGAGAGAGTATAAAGTAACCAACACA